CATACTATTTTATTATTTGCCGTGGCGTTTCGGGGAAAATAAAACATGATTCATATTGTCATTTGACTAATAGGTGAGGAAAACTAGGAAAACTCCACCTACCATCATCAAAACGGTATAACGATACAAGTGAAGTTATATCTTTGAGTTACGCAGCTCGTTTTGTAAAACACGTCTGACATCGACATGTTCATTGGTTGATAACGAATTCAATACAATCTGATCGAAGTGTTACGCTCAGCAACGCGGTAAACAATGCGCTAGTTCAGTGATGATGTAATTATGGTTCCACTGACAATTTAAGTGACAGTAGATTTTTTGAGTGCGTTTTGTTCGTTTTGTTTACCTACATTATATCGTTTTTTCACATTTATAAATATAATCCTAAAGTAAGTAGATAACATGCATCAAATAAACAATCGTTTAGTTACAAATTACATACCTTTAAACTATTTTGTATGACCTGTAAACAATATTTACAAATAGACTTAAAACATTAAAAACGTTTATGTCAAATTTATTGATGTTTTTGTTAGAAGTTTGGTTAGAATTAAATGTCAGTGGAACCAAAATGACATCACACTGAACTAGCGCATTTCAATTTAGAATAATTTTTCATTTGTCTGCTTTTCACAATCATGAAGCGTCAGTATTGATAATTTTTCGATATTTTTTCTGGTCAGAAGAAATTAATGACTTTATTTATTAATATTAATTTTGTTTTGTGTTGTATTAAGTTCTACTTAGTTAATATGGGAAGCCAACGCACAATAAACTCAAAAAGAGGAGTATGTACAGGTAGAACAAGTAGCAAGTATCGTTTCCCAAAGTTTTGATTATTGCTTGTTACCCGAAAACATTTTAAAATAAAAATTGTTTTTCACTTTTTGACATTAGAATTTTTAATAACGTTTCTTTTTTTTTCAGTAACATAAATATGACTGGAGTTATTCTCGACTTATTTTTTATATAGCAAAGCCATTTTGTTTTAGATCTAACCTCTGTAGGTAAAAAATGAGTGACTCAGCGATAAAATTTTAAAGTAGGTATACGTATTACATGTTTCTTAAATGAGTTAATTATTAATTCAAACATACTATACTCTTATCATAATAGCTAACCACAATAAATTCAATTACGAGTTTTTTATCTATCAAAATAAAAACAGCGTCTGGATTAAAATTGTTTAAAAGAACATGCAATATATCTCTCAATTTAATTTCGCATCAGTATCACATTTGAATTTACCGCATTACTTAAACGCATTGGTGCTAGAAGTTTCTTTAAGAAGTGTGATGCACTACTATTTGGGGTGCGCTGTGCCGAGCTCTGGGGGGCTATTTTCAAACTCGAGAGAATTCATTTCTCTCAAGAGAAATGTCATACGTCAACGTAAAACAGTATTTTTAGGGCTCTTAGGGCCAGTGTGAACTCACTGACTGTTTCTCTCGGTTTATTTAGAGATAATTAAAATTCTCCTAAGAATTTTAATCCCCGAGGCCTTTAAAAACAGCGTTTCCACATTGACATATGACATTTATGATGAGAATCTTGAGAGAAATAAGTGCTCCCATACTCTGAAAATAGCCCCCCCCGAGAGTAAGTGTTCTGTGGAACTCTGCGAGTTTGGTCACCCATCTAAAGGTCACCCACAGAGATAAGGGAGATAAAGATAGGAAACGCCCATAAGTAGCCAATGCTTAACAACGACCAGCTTTATCGCAGTTAACATCTGACCCACTATGTGGCGCTTTCATCAATATCAAACAACGCAGCGGCAAATTTAAAAACCTGATAATAAAGATTGCATAAATATCGACTGCACTCTCATGTTCTTGTAAATTACGCTAAATTATTTATTAAAAATAATACTACACTTACAGTCTATTATCGATTAATTATTGTAAATCTATATTCATGACAAATATTTTTTAATTTTTGATTGTTATTTGTACCACTGCATTTTTGTTCTTATTTTCGTATTTTATTTAAAAATGTTGAGTACAAATTCAATAATGGGAATTCAGATTTTTCTTCCTATATCAAATCTTCTTTCTAACGTTTTGAAGCCATTTTCTTGTTCTAAAACAATAATTAATATATAAACACCTACTTTGTGACAAAAGTTGATTACTATTTGTGTTACTTACATGAATAGATCTTACCTATTTTGGCTAATTAAATAACGCCACATTGGTGTTGTTAGATTTGTTCATGTGGCATGTGTTACTAATGCAATACGTTCTCCGACTTATTGAAATAATACAAAATATAATTATTGTCCTTAAATTTCACACAAAAACAGCCACAACTATTTCGCTTAGTTCATCTAGAGGATAACACAATCATGAACTCAAAATTTAAAATTTAAATTTAGGATTCTTCGATATACATAAAACTGACATTTATATACAAACTGTCCACTGCTGTCCACGTCTACTATCTGTCTCAGTGTTGCCAACCGTACGATTTAAATCGTATTTATACTATTTTTTAACTCTGTACCATGTACGATTGCATCAGTGAGATCGTATGTAAAAATATGATCTTCTCTTTTTTAGTAGGTTTATTTAAATATCTGCAACAACTTCAGAATATAAAACAATAAAAATCAAAAACTACTTACAAAGATTCATAGGCCGTTCGTAATTTCTACAAGTGTAAATTAAAAATTTAAAAAAACCGACTTCAAAAACGTGCAGATGCCATCACAACATCTTAACCAAATTTATACGGGATCACCCCTGAGGTACCCCCTTTCTAACAAAAAAAGAATCATATAAATCGGACAAGGTAGTAAAGCATTATCGCTAAACATACATAAAAAATGAAGAGTTTGAGGATTTTCTCATGGACCCAATTTTTAGATTTTGACCAAATTTATATGGGACCACCCCTGAAGTAGCCCCTTTCTAACAAAAAAAGAATTATTGAAATCGGACACCGTGTTAAAGAATTATCGCTGAACATACAAAAAAAAAAAATATCGCGACGAATTGATAACCTCCTCCTTTTTTAAAGTCGGTTAAAAAGCAGTCATTTTCGTTCTGACTTATCGATTGTGATTTTGACCACGGTGATTTTGTACACCGACTATCACGGCATAAGAAAAGCTGGCATGCAAAATTTTAATCACTTTCAAGTGACAGTCATAGATTACTTTAAATGTGTTAATTTAAAGTTTCATGTATTTTCTTTAGTTTTTTTCTTTGTAAACATTTTTATAAATAGATAAAGAAATTATCATGTTAAAGCTTTTTTTTTCATTCCATTTAAGTTATATTATGCTATGCATGTATCTATTGTACAATTTTCTTGTCGAAATACCATTTTTCTACTCTACTTATACGATCTCTCAAAAAAAAATATTTGGCAACACTGGTCTCTCTACAAACGACGTAGACCTATAGTTAACATCTGAGACGCTAGATGACGCCATCGTTGCATCGGTCGTTGCGTTTCCAATCTTTATGTCCCTTATCTCTGGTCACTCATTCAGAGTGTAGCCGAGCTATTCGCGATTCAAGCTAAGTGATACGCCCTCTGGAGGAAATTTGTAGAAGGTCCGTATAAGTAGGATATCGTTCACTGTTGCCAGAAGTAGCAAAACTTCGCTACGTCGTCGGATTTTAGCTCTTGAAGAAGTGGATAAGACCTTTTATTTAAGAATCAAAATTTGTGTATGGTAATATGTTATCATACTCTATATTTATTTAAGGATTTTTTTATAAAACCGATTTATTATATTGATTTTTTTTATATTTCAGTTCATTTATTAATTTTGTTTTAAAATCAGTTCATCATTTGGCAACATTGGCGTTCGTGTTCATTGTTTACATTTTAATTTGTATCAATTACAATTCGAGTTTTTTCCTACTTTTTAGCTTTAAATGTGTTTATTTCTTATAGCGTGTGATAGTGTTTACATTAAAAATGAAATCTGCGAAAAAGTCCCCAGAAAATTCCAATCTATATGGTGTTAATGTCAAAATCAAAACTGAAGTATTCATTATTTTCCAAGTACAAGTCGTAAAATTTTGTTTTTTACGATAAATGGATATCTACAAATTCACAATATTGAAATTTTACAAAACTTTGTTTAGAATCAAACTGTAATCTTATTTTTTGACGGTTTTATTACCATTTACATGTATACAAAGTACTACATGATTCACTTCATAATATAAGAATTAGTCTAGTAAGATTTTTAAATAAGTTCATCCATAATAAACGTGTGGTACCTGAAATGTCCTTTAAACCACATAATAAAACATGTCCTGGGTTTAGTGAATACATATTTCTAGATGTTCTTGTAGCAACCAATAGGTGAATATTTCCAACAAATTAAGTCATACACATGATAAATATTATATTTATGACGAAAGCACGAGACTTAAACTTAAATTAACACGAAATGAAACTCAAAAACACTATTACAATGAGAATATTATCTAAAAACAGTTAAAACAATCACAAATACAAAATCCGCCCAAAACAAAAACATGTAAATAAACAAACATCCTACTTATAGATGACAAATGACAGGCCCGCGAAAATTAATTTGAATCGCCAATAACGGCCGTGTCTGAGATCGGTGTTTTGAATCCCTTTCGCAGCGGCCAGCAACCAGGCATTTTATTGGTTACAACAAAACAACATTATTTTAAAACAAACAAATTTGTAGTTTTAATTTAAACAAATGATTTGTTTGAATGAATCAAATACATACATATCTATATTACTTACTATTCAAACTTTATAACCTTTAGAACAACTAAACTCTTGAAATTTCAAACAAACCAACAACTATGTTTTGTTGGACTAAGTGAAACATCAGATTTGTTTACATCAAACAAATTTTGAGAGTGTAGCGTTTTATATGGTAGGTTAAGTATTTACCAATACTACCTCGTATATAGTTGTGTACACAAATGATTGTTGTTGTTAGAGTGAGCATTTACAAACAGCAAAGTGAATGTATTCCTCTTACTTTTACTTACCCGTATGCAACCTTTTATGCTTTTTCAAAAAATATTTCGTAGTAAACATTTTACTGCACACTTCGCACTCCCACTGTTTATTATCGTGACACTTTTGTCCGTCTTTTTCACTACCCTTACCCTCTCTATCTACGTCATTATCACTTTGTGGCCTAACATCAACATCACTAACTTCGGAACACCCTGTACGATTTTGCGCTTCGTTTCTGATAAACCCGTAATGAGCTACCCTGAGATGCACCATCAAACTACCCCTCATTTTGAATTTTTTACTGCAAAGATGGCAGTGGTAGCTGTAATTTCCAGTTTTTATGTCTGGTGTCGTTTGGTGCAGCAGTTTTTGGTGTATATCCAAAATATTCTTGTCTGTGAAACTAAACGTGCAAATATCACACTTGACAGGGCCTTCGGAGATATTTCGACACTCGTTTTTTATTTTCTTTTCGATTTCCTCTTGCAGATTGTCTTGTAATTCGACTTTTGACGTTGCAATACATCCCGTGTGGCTGAATAAATGTATCGTTAATTTGTCTAGTCCTAAAAAACTTTCCGCGCAAATGGGACACTTGAGCAAGTTCGTGGCAACTCTCACTAGGGTGTTTCTTAGAGAGTCCGCACCCTCGAAGTGTGGGGTGGTGCACAAGGGACACGGGAGCAGTTTGATTTCCATTTCGAAAACGTGGATACTGAGTCTAAAAAGATACCGTTCGGGATTCTATTTTCGATGTTGATTATTTATGAAATGTTTTGGATGCGGACGCGATGATTATTTTTAGAATTTTCGTGTATTTTCTGACTGGCCAAGAGGTTTGTATACCGTGTGACAACAATATCGTAAATCTGAAGGCTATTTTTGCCAAAAAACATTTTTTTATTTTAAGATGCGTTTAGAATAGGCATTTAAGTTAAATAATAAAATAGTCTATCAGCTATCAATCGATTTCTAAGTGGCATTTTGTGTATTTTGCTTTCTATTTGTATAGAATTACATGTACTATGTCCCGGTGGTGGGAGCTGTAGTCTAACCTGTCAAATTCAAAATAATCTTTCACATCGAAGGAGTTTTTCGTTTTTTGCTGGCAATTAAATAATTTGCTTCTAGAGGTCTATAACTCTATAACAATAAAAAAATCGCTTTGCAAGCAAAAAAGTATCTCACCACATTTCACAGAAATTATTTTAGACATTCTAAAATACATATACGTAAAATAAATTGTATTCATCTCTTAGCTGGGTCGCTTCGGGACGTTCTGTGCACCACTTGGGCCGGCCTCTCTAAAAAGTAACGCCAAGATACGTAGTGTTTGGGCTGCATTTTTGCCAGATCAGCGAGTTTTATTTATAGTCTGTCGCATATGTGATGTGATTCGATTTCGGTTTTGTAGATTATTCGTTTGTGTTAATTCACCAACGCGTTGTTTCCGTTGTACATGAAAGACATGGATGTAGTTTATAAGTTAATAAACAAAAATATATTTTTTAAATAAGGGTATTGAATATAAGTATGGTGCTAAAAATGGCCACATAATAGATGCATAATCTTGCAGAACACCCAAATCTTTATCCACGACCTGCCACTGCTATTTATTTTGTACTATTTTAATAACTGTTCAGAAAAAAATTTTGTAAGTAGGTATCACCTTTAATAATAAAAACATCCTTGTTCACAGTTGTTCATCTTTTTATTTGTAATATTAGGAAAAAATAAAAAATGTAAAACATTATTGTATTTTAATAATGTTGTACCAAATGTCATTCTGTTTATGCTCTAATCCTTTAAGTCTGTCTGTTTTATTTGGGCCTTTTACGGCCTCCATTTTTCCGTTTCCAAGAATATTCGATAAAATAATCTCCGAAACCCTTTTAAGATACGCCTATGCTTTATTTTTTCATTATTTTTCTAGAAACAGATGAGTAATCACTTATCGAGTACCTACCTACCTTTATACAATCATAATATTATGTGTATTTTATTATTGTATTTTTATTGAATTGATTGAATGAATTTAATTATTATACACCCTGTATAATATACAAAAATCTCGTCTCCGTATCGAACACATTTCCCTAGCAACCAACAATCAACAGTTACCGTAGCAACCCCTAACTAACCTCAGAGCGGTTTTAAATGAAGTTGAAAGTTCTTGTCACAACAAAAAGCGAATCGGACGCAAAGGAAATTTTCTTCTGACGATTTTAAAATATGGCGCTGAATTTGGAAGACGTACTGAAACAACTCGGATGGAGCGATGGATTTCAAATACCGATCGCCAATGCGGAAAACAAAATTCTCGAAGAGGAATTGGCCAAGTTGAGTTTCAGGAAACAAAGAGGTCGAACGAATTTGGATGTCGTATCTGCCAGATTGAACGCCATCAACGATCATCTGAAGTTTGTCAACCAGGAAAGTGATCAAACACAGGTAATATGATAATAAATATATTGCGTATTGAAGTGAAAAATACTTCTTTTCCTCCGGGAGATTGTAACAGTTAACCAAGATGTGTTTTTCTTCTTTCGGTTTATGACAAATAATATTACGTTAGTATATATTATGAATTGTGAAGCAAACTAGAAAATATTTGAAAGATTTAAAGAATAAACGGATATTATCGCATTTAAAGAGTCCCAACAAATATTTTTTATTGGCAAGTTAACGACCCTTAAAGATATATGTACGTTACTTCAAGTAGTGGCCTTTCGTTGGGTGTCTGGCATACATGATAAGACATTTTTTTGTCACAACAGGCAGCAGAAGGACGTCTTCACTTTACCAGCAATAAGCAGGAGAAAGGCCTGCAAATGGCCAGCAATTTCCCATAATAGCTTTACAAGGCATAAGTAGGCACATGGCCAGCAGTTTCCCATAATATTAAAGTTAACGTTGCATTTATGGACTTTGATATGGCTTGTCACTTTACCAGCAATAAGTAGTGAAAGGCCTGCACTTTTCCCGCAGTTTCCGATAATATTAATGGTATCTTCCCTTCAAAGGGCTTGCATAAGGCTCTTATAAAAATTGATGTCGGACTTTAAAAGGGAATGTACCACGTGTGACATATCAAAGATAATATAATTTTTTTGGGGAATGCAGCATTATGAGTATTAATATACCCTAACAGCTAATTATATTAGTAATAATGCCCCATATAATATTAACCAAAGTGGCTCCATATTACACAAAATCAAGTTTATATGTAATGCTAATAGGTACACACTATATTATTTAATTATTGTTTAAATTCAATTTTCATTTGTTTATTTAGGCTACTTTTATGTCATGTATTGAATAAAATGAACTCTCATATGAGATACTTGGTATTAAATAACTCTTTTTTCCCCTTAAGAGGGTTCTAAAATCAAGATTTTGGATATTCGTACTAATATACTTCTTCATTCTCAAAAAAATTACTTTTTCAATGGTGTCACACAGGGTGCTTTAATACTTTCCTTAGTTAACTATTAATTCTAATATTATCTTTAGTTCATGAGATATTATAAGTAGTCATTGTGAGTTTTAAAATTGCCAGCCTGTATAATAACTATCTCAATATAATTTATAACAATTTATACAATGAAGTGGTCTGAAAACCACAATTTGAATATGTTATAATTAATTAATAATTGAAGTTAAAAGCCAGTAAAAATTTCAAAAGGGCCATAAACGGTTAAAAAGCCATCAACGGCCCATCGAATAATTAAAGTTAAAGGTCAGTTAATTACAAATATCAAATGAGCCATGACTATTTCACCGTTACAAATTACTTTGTCATCACATTAGTTAAAGGGCCAACTTCATTGTATGTTGGGATATATAATTGTACAACTGAAGACAAGTTTAACCAAATATAATACAGAACCGTAAAATGAAATTCAGGGTGATATCATCATCTAACCTACACTCCCGATTTTTAGTCGGGGTTATACGCTCGCCTTATGACACAAAACAACTACTTTCAGGGTTATATGCTCAACCCGATATTGAATGACATATACCGCCAGATAGCTAAAAGGACTGGCTTTCAAGGCATTAAAAAATATACGGGGTGTTCCATTAAAAAAAATAACAAATACGTCTTTAAAAAACCGCCATTTTGTTTTTCAGTAAACCGGAAGTGCTAAATAATTTTGAATTGACCGAAATAAAACTTGGAATAATTTGATACATTTCGGTGCAAACCGCATGTTTTTAAGTACTTTCGTTTAAAAGTTATAAGCTTGCTAATGTTGGAAAATATAATGGGACACCCGGTATTATGATGCGTGTTTAAAAATTGACAGCTATCCGTAAACTAGAACAAATTCAAAGAACCAGCATATCGCAACATAACAGGTGCCATGAAAACAACACCGACCAGAGCCATGGAAGTCATTCTTAGTCTCACTCCCCTTGATATTTACATCAAGAAGGTTGCTTTGACGACAATTACACGCGCGCCTCCGCACGGTTGGAATAGAACCTGATGTAGGATCTGGTGAGGCGAGACGTGGCTTTTGGCAGGAGGCGTTCGATACGCTCCCACTGCTCACCCAGATATATCTTCCATAAGCCATATAAAATTGTAACAGAACAAATAGAAGAGCCGGAAGTGGCAGGTAGGATTCATATCTACACCGACGGTTCTAAAACAAAACAAGGCTTAGGATGTGGATAAATTAACACAAAAATTTATTAAACGTTAACGTCAAAATTAATTAATGACTAGAAAGTTACTTAATGCATAATACAGTGTAATATTCAAATTACCTAACCTATTGTTATAACCACGATGAAAATGTTGAGTTTGGAGTCTTGACTTTAATATTGAACTGCTTCAATGTCGCCTCCAAGGCCTTTTGGTTTCCAGAAAAGTACGCTGAAATGGCATTATGAAATAGGAGTAGCTGCTTATGCATTACATTGATCCTATTCTCATCCAAAAATTTCAGTTTGATAGTAACCTCAGCTCTTAACTTCATGAAATTCTGTCTATGCACTTCATAATTTTGCTGTGCCTCCTCAAGACTTATTGTACCATCAGGTTTTCTAGAGAGACATTCAAGATCAGTACGATACGCATCATACTCAATTCTTGTAGCTTCATATTGTCTTATACTTTCTAAAGTATCTTCAATAGTTTTGTTACAAAGCGTATTCACTGAGGATATAAAAAAAATTAAAGCACCTAAGGGTGTTTCACCATTTTTTGTTAGGTTCCTTTGAGTTTCACAGTTGTATAAAAATTCTTCTTGAAGCTTTGAGCAAGTTCAGAGAATGCTTCACCTAAGGCATGCCGCGTTTGAACAACATGGTAAAAATGGCTGGTCAGTACTCTAGTCAAACGAAGAATGTTAATATATTTCTTTTGGGTGTCCTGAAGTTGATCTATTCGAGTTTCTAGTCTACTGTTCTAGATGATTTGCCTAGTTTTTCAAACATAATCTGCTTTGTAAGTAGATATGGACCAATTTTTTAAATGTTCTATTCGAGACGAGTTGTTTCTGAAGAGTGTGGATTCGTCGTTAGATGAGGGAGACTTTAGCCCTGAAGGAGGATTACTAGTTCTCTCACCATTTGCTGTCGGAGAGCTAATTTGCGACATTTTTACTAAAAATTCAGCACTGTTAGGTAGCTTAAGGCGACAACAGAACTACAAATATCGTTTAGAGTCACATTTGATCACAACACTTGCTTTTATATTCATGAATTTCTACAAAACTGTAATTAACATTAACCTGTATCTTGTATTTTCAGCCCAACCACAGCTTGACTTGACTATCGAATTTACTCCAAATCCTTAAACCTTCACATAAAATGGGCTATTTTCATAGCAGCAAAAAAAATCACCAAAAACAATATCACTGGAAGGAACATGCTCATCTATACAAATAGCAGACAAGCACTACTCACCCTGAACGGACCACGAATTTTTTCAGGGTTAGTACTAAAATGTCACGAAGTTTTGGCCGAAGTATCCATCAACAATGTGGTCACCTTAAGATGGATCAACGGTCACGCCACATCGAAAGATAACCGTCTTGCTGATTCACTGGCCAAGAAAGCAGCCAACCAAATACTTTTGGACCTGGCACTTCTATTACCCTGACAAAATCGGTAGTGACAGACCTAATTAAAGGACATTCCCTTGTGAAATTCAAGGAAAGATGGGATAAAACAAGAAGCTGCAGAGTTGCCAAGGATCTTTTAAATTATCTTGACAACACTGCAGCAAAAAAATACTTGACTATGACTAGACAGAATCTGCGCCTAGTCACAGATATTCTGACTGGTGATTTCCAAGTAAGGAAGCATCTCCATATTATGGGGCTGTCAGAATCCGCACTCTGCAGAGGGTGCGAAGAAGATGAGACCATCAAGCACATCCTTTACGATTGCTCGACGCTCCCATTTAGTAAGATATTTGTGTTCGGCAAGTATCGGCTAACACCGGCCGATATAAGAGAAGCACCTCTCCCCGACGTTGTCAACTATATTAAATCTGTAGGCTGGCTCACGAGCTAGGAGGTACCTATAATCTTAAGAGGATGCACAATGGGGCTAGTGAGGCCTAAGTGCCGTGGGGGTCACCCGCCCTCCACACATTACAGATACAGATACAGAATACGTGTTCGCGACCTACTCTGACGGTACATCAAACCCTTCGGTTTGGCATTTGAGGAGTTTACATTCTACGACCGGTTTCGCCCTAATTGGGAAATATATAAAGTCTGTAGCAAGAACGTTTATTAGAATTTACAAGCCTGATACATTTTTCATTCATTTTCGAGTTCTGGCAAAATTAAATTGAAACCTGATTAAATTGAATTTATTAAGTCCAGTAGCGTCCCGGAGGGCAACCTAATTGATTTTTTTTAATATAATCAAATGCCTGTTTTGCTATTAGCCAAAGAAGTAGTTGTTTTCAGAGAGAAATGGTTGGTCGTGATTTCAGATTTTAATGTTTCTTTTTGGTCACATTTTGAATTTGAAATTATGTTTTTAAAAATAATTTATAATAAGTGTTCTGACAATTTTGTATTCTTTTATAATATTTTAATATTTCTTAGAAACTGATCAATACCCACAAGGAGCAGTTGGAAACCCTAGAACATGTATTTTGCAACACGAGAACCGATAACCGAAATGCACAGCACGCATTCAAAATGTCTGTCCAACAATTGAAAGAAGCTGAGTACGCCCAAAACGAGAAAAAAACCGAGCTCCAAAAGCTAATAATGAAGGTAAAAAATTAGTATATTATTCGACGAGTAACAGCCATTTTAGAGCGAGTTGATTACTATTTTTTTACAACTGTGATTTGCCAAAAAGTTTTAAGTATTAAATGAACTATTATTCAATATGTACAGACCCCGCATATAGTAAAAAGTACAGTGTGTTATAGCATTGCGCTAAAAAGTGTCGTCATAATTAGCGCTATATTACAGATTTGATAGCGGGAATTTAAATCAGTATGGTAACGGTTTCAAATTTGGAAGTTAACAATGATAACTTGTTTAATATTTTTAATATTTGATAAATATGGTTATTTTGGTCAATTGAGTAGAGTATAAAAAGCCTACTACATAGTATTAAAAGTATGAAAATATATGTTTGTCAAGATGTTTTATACATAAAGCACCATGCATCCATATTATTATACTTTTTGGATTATCTTCTGTGATTAATTTCACAAACTATTAATTTATGGATACTTGGAAAAAGATCGCGTCGAGCCACTGGCGCGGTCATTGGTAAGAGACGTAGACAATTAAAATTTGGTTTTTGCTCATATCGTCATCTATGGCTCCTCTGTAGTGTTTACTGAAAAAGATTTTTTTCTATTCCCACATAGATATTAGTTTATTTACGCCCAGATTACAGAACAAAAAATTATGCTATTGCCTTCAACTGAACGAATTAAAAAATTAAATCCACCAATCACAGTTCATATTTTGATCAACTAGCTGCTATTATTTTTAAAATTTTAAATTCTGTTAAATTAATTGTCAGTATATTTTTTAGTTATTGAGATTAAACATACATTAAAATGAGTTATTCTTGTATAGAATCGATAAATAATAGAATTTCTATTTTTATTTCGTCTGTAATTATAAATAATTTGTTAATTTAAATAAAACTATATGAAGTCAATTTAATTAAGAGTATTAAAGCAAAAAATAATAAACGCGTAGATGATCCTGTTGTCAGCGTTCTTGCCTTCCATACGGAAGATTCGAGTTCGAATCTCAGATAGAGAAAAATAAAATGAATTTTTTTTTCTTTTTTTTTTTCTGTTTATTTTATTTTGTAAATTAGTAAAAATCATAAATTATTTTTAAAATAATTATATTATCTTAATAACCCAAAATAATTTTTAATATTTTTATATTTTCGTTAGTGGGTCGTAAAAAAATATACTGTACAACTCGAGTGGAATGTCCATATCCACTCTTGTTGCACAAACTACTATTAGTAGTCAACAAAACAAACTTTAGTAGTAAATCGTATCTTTCTTAATCCATACATTTAAAAAGAATCATTTGTTCCTTAAAGGCCGACAAACTCAAAGCAGAAATGGACTGGGACTCGGAGGCGTTGAAAGCTTGGGACGAAGCTCTGAAGAAAAGAGACGAAGACATCGAACTGCTGAGGAAGTTCTTCAAAGACGACGACAGAAAATTCAACCAATTAGAAGCCAGACGGCAACATCTCAAAGCCGAATTGGTTTCTGTTCAAGAAAAGATCGAAAAAATCGCCTCTAATTATCACAACGCCGAACAGATGGTTGAAAGATCGGGTAAAATGAAATTTCTTAATTTCACATTTCTACATTATGGGTATTTTATTGCATTTTCCATTAATTTTTTCTAGTGTTCATTGAAAATTAGTTATATCTTTTGAATTACCTTGTAACACCCCATACTACTTCATATTTTTAAAATAGCAAAATATTTATAAGGGAAACTTTGATCTAGTCTAAAGTTATGAAACATCTAGTATATTAGAAAATAATAACAATAGGGAATTAATTAAAAAAAACTGTTTGTCATTCGGTATTTTTTGTTAAGATTTTTTCTCATCCTTCGGAACCCCCAGCTATCACCCTAATCTGCCTAAAGCAACATTGATTGGTAAAGCTGTCCTTAGGGAGCAGTACTAGGACTCTGGTCAGTCCTAGTTGACGAACTTACAAAAAGGCTAATATATGCAGTATTTTACTGCTTAGAATATGCCAATGAACTTGCAAGAGGCAAGTAGACAGGTACAATATAGAGAACGCAAATAAATTACTCTAAAAATCGTTGATGAGTGGTAACTGAGTAACTGTGAACCCTCACAAAATCACAATAGTCAACTTCACAAATGAAAGTTACTGACAGAACTAAATGTCGCCAGTACTGAAAGAAAAGGAGATATTCTTTGCACAGGAGGTCAAATACTTGAGTGTCATATTTGATTACAGGTTAACAAGAAATCACCCAAAAAAGTACAACGTCCTCCAACTTATGTCGAAGTAGTTGCGGTAAAAATTGTAGAATATAAAAAAACCAAAGTCATAAGGCTTATGGTAACCTACAGGTAGGTGGTGTAGTTATCAAAGGCTCGGCAAACTGGAGTCATTCGACAGCTCAACAGTATTCAAAGGCAAGCATTCTTGAGTGCCAAGGGAGTCATGAGAACGACTCCAAAAGCAGCGCCATATATCATGCTAAACCTAACATCACTACACATATTCTTTCAAGGCGAAACTAGCTTCGTCACATACATACTGACTGCACAAGATCCATCATACATAAGCAATATGTCTGGGTGTGACTAATGTTAGCTTTATAAACAGTTGGACAATGACCAAATAATTGGATTACCTTCAGATTGAATGCTTCCAAAATATAGCATTCAAAAACTTTATAAAGTTGGTACAACAGAACAAGGAATTGAGAATCTTCAAATCACGTATAAATTAATGAGCTGTAATAGGTTATAATGCCAAGCTAAAGACAAGAATATCACTAAGGTTAGGCAGAAATAGCAGCAATACATCACTGCCAAAAATAAATACTAACCAGTGCCATACACTCCGGCTAATTGATCACCCTGTATGTTTAATTCATTCCTTATTTATTATTTGACTGTAAAATTTTATTACCTTTTGATATTCACCGGGTGGGGGTTGGTAAAATTTCTTGTAAGTGTTAAAGATCTCCGATCTTCTTCTTCTTTCTCAATCTTAGGCGTTACTTATAGGTAAAGCTCGTGAACTTGGATTTTATCCATTTGTTTCCATAATTTGTCAATTCTTTAATCTATCTCATGTTCTTTCATTCTATGTTTCTCTTTGTTTTAATCTTGCTTTTCTTTCATAGATAATTTTTGCGAGTACACGGTCACTAAAAGCAATATTTCGAGTCTATCGGCATTTTTATATCATTAAAACTCCGTTATGGAATGATAAGCAACGTTTAAATGTTGTTTAAGGTAAGGTAATTAAACAATTGAGCAACGAAAGGGAGGCGTTGATCAATCAATGGAAGAACACCGTAGGGATGTTGCAACAGCGCGATAGCGACATTATGCGCGCTCAGGAGGACCTGGGCCACGTGAACGAGGTCCTCCAGAAGGCGGAAGATAAATTGAATACGGAAAAGAAATTCCTGGCCAATGAAAAGAAGAATAATAAAGAGTTGGAAATGGAAATTTTGGAAGCGAACGATATCAGCACTAGGTATAGGAAGGAATTGGCTGATTTGTATCATTACTTGATGACAAATCAAACGGCGGTAAGTAAGCTGAAATTTTTATATTAATAACAAAAATTGAACACATTTTTTTATTATTTGAAGAAAAGCTATCAACCACGCATAATCGCGATTCAAATTAATTTTAAATTTTGTAAGTTTTGTGCGGGCTTTTGTATTTGTGATTTTTTAACTTTTTTTAGATGTTACCTTCAAATGAACAAAAATCTTCTTCTGCAAAATGCAAGAACAAACTCGCATTGTGGTAAAAGTTTGTTTTCCGATTTTCAGAATAAAAATCTACCGTTTTCTTCTGTCGACTATCTCATAATTGCCTATTTTATTTTTAATAAGTGCTTTACGGTTATCTCTCTTTGGAAAATGATGAAATAAACTTAAGGTCTATTCCAACAACGAACACAAACCAGTCGCTGACAACCAGATTCTGCGTAGTAGATAATTCGGCTGTCTTAATGATCTACTGCGCAGAATACTGGTCTCAGTAACTGGTTTCTGGTCGTTTTTGAAACAGACTTAATTAACGACTCCATTTTGATTTGGAAGTGCAACCTTTAGCACAATTTGCTGGAGGATTTTTCACAAATTTCACTATAAGAAAAGTAATGCTTACAAACAAGAAAATTTCGAATTGATAAAAATTACTATCGGTCACAACGGATAATACAACAAGGCCAAATGTTGGCAACTGATGAACTGATTTTAAAACAAAATATATAAATTGTTGCGAGCTAGTGGATTTTTCGTACTTACTTTCCAATTCCAAGTCTTGCACGGAGTTTCTTTCCTGTAATGGACTGTAATGGGCTATGGACGGTTCGTGGAGAAAATGAATTCTGGTTTTTGCATGTACCTTCACTGATGTTGAAATTAAAAATGTATCGTCCTTTAACGTATTTATTTAAATCCTGATAAACTTTAATATAAACTTCAACATTTGTGAACACTGTCCTTAATCTACTAGTTTACATAAAATTTGTAATTAAAGTAGTTCACTCGCGACAGTCATACATAAAAATATCGCATACTGGTGAATACCAAAAGTTCGAGATTCTCAATGCTAATCAATTTTATTTTTGTAAGAGACTGTACAAAACCCATGTATATAAACACATATGGATATGTTATAATTTTAATAAAATCCATCCGGCAACCTTGCAAATATATGAACGGTATGCTATAGAAGTTTGCGACTCCTTCACACTAATTTTAAGGGTTTGTTTTGGTTCAAAGAGAATCGCTGATTCCAGTATGATTCCAGTTCTCAAACACAGAGGACGAATTAATTTTTCAAGAACAACCTCTTAGCTGATTGAGTGTTATTTTGTGTAGTGATTACAATGTTGCCAAGTTGTAATAATTTTAAGCAACTACGCGTCAACTGCTTTAAAAATCTTTACCTTTAACTAACACGGTGAAAAAATTCAGCGATTGTTTAGAAAATTTTATAACTTCTTGATTTACGTTACATTAGTTTTTAAAAAATATGGTAAAAACCGTTTTCGAGATATCTTAAAATAAATGCATTGCTAGTGTACATGACAGGGCTTCAAGAGTGTTAATTATGCACATTTTGATTGATAATATCTCGATTCACAGACGGTCAAAAAATTTATTTTTTTTAGTTACGTAAACTAAACTTTCATTAACCTTATATTTAAATTTTATTGAATTCTTAAGAAAAACCGTTTTGCGAGTGAACTACCTTAAACGTTGGCTTATAACATCTAATTGTGTTGCGAGAATCTCACATCTTATTGTGTTGCGAGAATCTCGCAAGAAACAAGTTGAAAGTTGATGTGTACTGTTCAGCGGCGAGAGAGATTCTGGTCTCTAGCTCCGAGCTTTACGTTTGACAAGCTCTTACAGTAAACGCCAAATCTAAAGAACCAAGGACGCGCATTTATAATGCTAAGTACACGCCTACCAATGAATAGAATTGGTAGCTAACCTAGAAAGTTGTAAACCAGGGGCGCGTATATTTTAAGACATAAAATAAATGGAAAATAGTGAATGATGCTTGTTCATACATATTGCTTAGTGTTATTAGTACATAATTCTATAGTCAATTAAAAAATTATTATTTTTAGGTAAGCCGACTTTAGGTTAAGGAGAGCTCTGGTGGTCTAGTATTTTGTATTTTAACTGACATTCGTTTTTTTATAAGCAAAATATGGAAATAATATGTGTATGAAGTAATATATCCTTCCAATTTTTTATACCGGGTGTTCATTTCAAAACTGGATAGTCCAAATAACTTCTGATTTTACGTAAATTTAAGAAAAACAAAAACCTGTTTAATTTTATATTATATAGCCTATAAGTAAATACAAACAACGTAAACAGTAAATCACAAATAAATAATGTTCATATGTCTTCTATTCATTCTTTTAACGGTAGTATAAGAAACACCTGTAAAAACGTAACACTATATTAATGTTAAATTTAGTATTTTTTTACATTTATTAGAAAACAAAAATCTTTAGAAACAGAAGATAAATTTAAAAAATTAAATATAAAATATTAGTCAAAAATAAAATGCATAGATATGTGTGTAAAATACAAAAAAAAATATAGAAAACTACGCAAGTTTAATTGCAAATAAACTACAGAATATGTTTACCTGTTGCTTGTGCAGTTTGAAGTTTGATATCATCTAAAGTAACTCCTTCCTTTTTAGTTGCGTCAAAATATTTGAAAACATTGTATATTACTTCACGACTTTGGGGTCTATTCTGTAACAATTCCTTTAAAAATATTTTCTTCTTTAATTCTGTCACTATCTAAACGGATCTTTAAAATACATTAGAGGACTATCTAGAGAAATCTGTTTAAATAATGATAGAAGTAAATTAACGAATACGAAAATATTTTTAAAGGCCGCCAATATTTTAACGGCCGTTAAAATATAAAGGAATTGTTACAGAATAGACCCCTTTGTCCGTTAATAACAGATCTGCGCTTTTTTCACCCACAATAGAAGACATTATCAAAAATAAAACCAGTCACGTTAATCAAAACACAAACAAGAAACAAACAATGATCTAGTCGTTACGCTACTGATCTTAAGCAAGGGCAAGGTTCAAATTGTGAATGGGCGTGGCGATTTTTAAGTAAACGAACCTGAGCATTTGCGCTGGTTCTTTAGATTTGGCGTTTATTGTACTTGAGTTACCGTGTTAAATTTCTGATAGAATATCGTATGATCTTGGCGGGAGAGACAGCGACATTGCTTGCTATTTCATTTTGAACATTTTATTTTTGCTTACTTTCTGAGCGTGACGGAAATAGACCTATATGAAGAGAGAGATACATAAATTAGAACATTATACAACTGATTACGAAAAGTTGATTATGCAACCAGTTATGCCTCTTTTTTGGTTTTTAATTCGAAAAATCTAAAAATCTAAAAATCTAAAATCTAAAAATCTAAAAATCTAAAAATCTAAAAATCTAAAAATCTAAAAATCTAAAAATCTAAAAATCTAAAAATCTAAAAATCTAAAAATCTAAAAATCTAAAAATCTAAAAATCTAAAAATCTAAAAATCTAAAAATCTAAAAATCTAAAAATCTAAAAATCTAAAAATCTAAAAATCTAAAAATCTAAAAATCTAAAAATCTAAAAATCTAAAAATCTAAAAATCTAAAAATCTAAAAATCTAAAAATCTAAAAATCTAAAAATCTAAAAATCTAAAAATCTAAAAATCTAAAAATCTAAAAATCTAAAAATCTAAAAATCTAAAAATCTAAAAATCTAAAAATCTAAAAATCTAAAAATCTAAAAATCTAAAAATCTAAAAATCTAAAAATCTAAAAATCTAAAAATCTAAAAATCTAAAAATCTAAAAATCTAAAAATCTAAAAATCTAAAAATCTAAAAATCTAAAAATCTAAAAATCTAAAAATCTAAAAATCTAAAAATCTAAAAATCTAAAAATCTAAAATCTAAAATCTAAAAAATCTAAAAATCTAAAAATCTAAAAATCTAAAAATCTAAAAATCTAAAAATCTAAAAATCTAAAAATCTAAAAATCTAAAAATCTAAAAATCTAAAAATCTAAAAATCTAAAAATCTAAAAATCTAAAAATCTAAAAATCTAAAAATCTAAAAATCTAAAAATCTAAAAATCTAAAAATCTAAAAATCTAAAAATCTAAAAATCTAAAAATCTAAAAATCTAAAAATCTAAAAATCTAAAAATCTAAAAATCTAAAAATCTAAAAATCTAAAAATCTAAAAATCTAAAAATCTATCTAAAAATCTAAAAATCTAAAAATCTAAAAATCTAAAAATCTAAAAATCTAAAAATCTAAAAATCTAAAAATCTAAAAATCTAAAAATCTAAAAATCTAAAAATCTAAAAATCTAAAAATCTAAAAATCTAAAAATCTAAAAATCTAAAAATCTAAAAATCTAAAAATCTAAAAATCTAAAAATCTAAAAATCTAAAAATCTAAAAATCTAAAAATCTAAAAATCTAAAAATCTAAAAATCTAAAAATCTAAAAATCTAAAAATCTAAAAATCTAAAAATCTAAAAATCTAAAAATCTAAAAATCTAAAAATCTAAAAATCTAAAAATCTAAAAATCTAAAAATCTAAAAATCTAAAAATCTAAAAATCTAAAAATCTAAAAATCTAAAAATCTAAAAATCTAAAAATCTAAAAATCTAAAAATCTAAAAATCTAAAAATCTAAAAATCTAAAAATCTAAAAATCTAAAATCTAAAAATCTAAAAATCTAAAAATCTAAAAATCTAAAAATCTAAAAATCTAAAAATCTAAAAATCTAAAAATCTAAAAATCTAAAAATCTAAAAATCTAAAAATCTAAAAATCTAAAAATCTAAAAATCTAAAAATCTAAAAATCTAAAAATCTAAAAATCTAAAAATCTAAAAATCTAAAAATCTAAAAATCTAAAAATCTAAAAATCTAAAAATCTAAAAATCTAAAAATCTAAAAATCTAAAAATCTAAAAATCTAAAATCTAAAAATCTAAAAATCTAAAAATCTAAAAATCT